CTCGGACATGTGACCCTGACTCTGACCATTGATACACGGGGGCAGACTGAACGCCCTCGGGCCAAACAGACAGACATCATTTTACCCTTCATTCTAGTTTTGTGTTTAAAATATGAAGGGCTTTCAACCTTAAAAGAAAGTTAATATAAATATTTTACTTAAATAGGGAAATTCTTCACTTAAAAGGGTACACACACATGTCAGTTGAGCATGAAATAGTGGAAGGAGCAGCCTTGGAAACGGGAAAGGAGAGGCAGGGTGCCTGTGTCGGCCCTGCTCCTTTCCTAGCTCAGTGAACAGTCTCGTGGGGTCCCCAGCCCCGTGCTGGGCGCCAGGGACACGAGACTCGAGGCTCAGGGGTGCCACCTTCTGAAGGATGAAGGAGACTTAGTGATTCTGGATAGAAGTGGTTTGTTCATTTCTAAATTGGGTGCTGATGGAGTTTTTGTGGTAAAGTACACATAAACTTTGCCATTTTAACCTTTTTCAAGTGCTGTGGCCTCACCTACCTTCACAGCCATCACCTCTGTGCTTGCAGAACACCTCCTTCCCCCAGAACTGAAACTTGGTCCCCACTAAGCAACAGCCCGTCACTCCCCCGCCCCCAGCCCCCGAAGCCCACCCTCCGAGCTTCTGTCCCCACAAATAGACTCCTCGAGGGACCGCACGTGAGTGGAGTCGTGTAATATTTGTCCTTCTGTGTCCGGCTCATTTCTCTGAGTGCAGTGTCCCCAGAATCCATCCACCTTGAATCCTGGGTCAGGATTCCCACCCTCTTTAAGACCGAACGATGTTCTGCTCTGTGTATGGACCTCACCTTGTTTATCCGTCATCCTTCAACGGACATTTGGGTTGCCTCCACCTTCTGCCTGTTGTGAATGATGCTTCTGCGAACATGTGTGTGCAAATGTCTGTTCAAGACCCTGCTTTCAGTAATTTTGCATAGATACCCAGAAGTGGAAGTAGAATAGAATAGAGCTTTGGATAGACACCCAGAAGTGGAAGTAGAACCGCTGGGTCATGTATTAGCTCTGTTATTTTTCAGGCGTCTCCTCACTGTTCTCCACAGCGCCTGCACCATTTCACACCCCCACCAGCAGAGTGCAGGGGTCCCAGTCTCCCACATTCTTGCCAGCCCTTGTCATTCTCTATTGTTGGTGGTGGTTTGTTTTCAGGGTAACCATCTGAGTGGGAGTGAAGTCGTGTCCCGTGAGGTTTTGATTCGTGTTTCCATACTTGTTAGTGATGTTGAGCATCTTTTCATTTGCTTATTGCCTATCTGGGTGTCTTCTTTGCAGAAACGTCTGTTCGAGTCCTCTGCCCGTTTTTCAGTCGGGAGGTTTGCTTTGCTGTTGTTGAGTTGTGGGAGTTCTGCGTTTATTCTGGATGTGAACCCTTTCTCAGACGCCTAGTTTTCAAGCGTCTTCTTCCTTTCAGTGGTTGTGCTTTCTCCCTGCTCACTGCGTCCTGTGAAACCCAGAAGTTTTAAACTCTGATTTGGTCCAGTTTGTGCTTTTGCTTTTATTGCTTGTGCTTTTGGTGTCATACCCAAGGAACTGTTGCCATATCCAGTGTCATAAATCTTCCCCTTATGTTTTCTTCTAGCCATTTTATCATTTGACCACATATGCAGAGGTCTATTTCTGAGATCTGGGTTCTATTGCGTTGGTTTATTCATCTATCTTTATGCCAGAAGCACACAGCTCAGACTATCATCATAGCTTCAGTAATAAGTTTTGAAATCAGAAAGTGTGACACTTCCAACTTTGTTCTTCTCTTTAAAGAGTCCTTAGTCTATTACCAGACCCTTGTGATATCATATGAATTTTAGGACAGATTCTTATTTCTGCAAAAAAAAAAAAAAAAAGAAAAGAAAATCCCATCAGGGTTCTAATAGGGATTGCATTTAGCTGTGTAGATGTCTTTGGTGGTATTTTCCTCTAAACATATGAAATCTACCAATCTGTGAACACGGGATGTCTTTCCATATGTTTACAGCTTTTGCACTTGATTTTGAAGTCTCGTTATAAACACAGCACCATCTTTGATCATAGAGCAAAGGAAAAATTCATCTTTTTTCCTAGAGTGGGCTATAGCCAAGTCTGAGTGATAAGCAAATTATATGAATAAGTCAGAACCGAGATGAGAAGTGACACCAGCTAAGGGCATCAGTCAAGGTGACACCTTGAGGATCAGAGGAGGAAACCACACCTGAGCCGCTCTCAGACCCCCGGGAGACTGGCCTGAGCGCACAGGAGAGCCAGGGAGCCACAGACGCAGTGGATCTGTGAGCTGGAGGTGGGCTGGATGGTTAGAGTGAGACGCACAAGCCTGCGAGACCAAGGGGGATGCTTAGACCAGGCAGGTGAGCTGGGCAAGTGTGGGGCGTGGCCAGGGCAGCATGCGTGTGTGTGTGTGTGTGTGTCTGTGCACCGTCAATGCACAGGCAAGGACAGGCGGCGGGTGTAGACAGGACGACAGGCGGCGGGCGATGGTGCAGCCCAGGGTCTCTGCTGACGCACGATGGGGAGGCAGGGCGTCTGCGCAGCGAGGTATGCAGGACAAGGGTGGACACGGGCTCGCGGGGCAGCCGGGCTGCCGGCCTCCTGATACCTGGTCGCATCCAGCCCCACATCTTGCACCGCCGAAGGCTAAACAGCAGGCCCCAGAGATCCCTCCGGAATCGTGGTACTGACAGTCAGGCCTGAGACCCTAACTGAAGGCCCGAGTGTGCGCCCATGGTCGGCATGGGCAGAGGTGGGAGTGGGCAACCTCAGGAATGAAGCTCCCGGAGCACCTCAGAGGGGCCTTCAGGAGAACGTCTGTTTGCCTTGTTGGTCCCTTGCCTGCTCGGACCAGAAATGCCTGTGGGGCCGCTTGAGTGGCGGGAGCAGCCGTACTCAGGAGCCCCCATCAACCTGGTGTTCTGGGTCTGTCACCAGGCGTCCTCACCTGCAGGACGGAGTGGGCGCAGACACGGCGGGAACAGGCCAGGGTGAGTGTGGGCCACCAGCGTGCGGCGACAGGCCCGGGGCAGCCAGCCCCGCCGGATGAAGGAGCCCAGCGTGGCCAGTGCCGCTCAGACTCCCTTCCAGGGGAGCCCCACGGGACTGGGCCTGGATCTCACCCACAGGGCCCAGGACAGCGACTTCGGGCCCACCCTCACGCCCACCCACCCACCCACCCACCAACCTGGCCCTGCCCTGGAGGGTGTGCTCCCCGGAGGGCACGCTCCCCAGAGGGCACGCTCCCTGGAGGATAAACTCCTGGAGGGCACGTCCCCCATTGGGTGTTTTCCTGTTCCGTTCACGTGTCCTTTCTTCCATCTGACAGGACTGTGGCAGCTCTTTAAGGCATCTCTTTTAGAGACAGTGAGTCTGGCGCTTCCCCCTGCTTGTGTATTATCCTGCTTGGTAAGATGCCAGGGCCGTGTCGGGGTCTCCGGAGCAGTCCTGGGTCTGCCTGGTCACGATGGCGGAGGCACAGTGCCTGTGTCCTGGGGGCACCGGGAAAGGCCAGCGCTTCTAAGAGCCTCTTACGTTTACAGGAAGAGAGAGGAGTGTGTCACTGGGGGTGTCCTCAGCTCGGGAGGCGTCCTTGGAGGGAAGCTGGGGAGCAGCTCGTCATGTGGGTGACCCGTGAGTCTGCAGAGTGAGTCGGGGCGGAGCCCTCAGCCTCAGTCCTCCTCGCACCCCTGAGGACTCGGGCCTGGGGGGCCCCTGCAGAGCCAGCACCAGACGGGGGATCCTTCCCGTAGGTGGGGCAGGGTCACAGGCCAGAAAGCCGGTTCCTCCTTTAAGGCTTTTTCTGAGGGCTCTCTGAAAGATGAACTTGGAAAACTCTTAGAAACCAGCGTAAAGAAACAAGGCAGCTTAGAGCTATTTTCTTAAAAAGCCATCAGGACCGTGACATCCGAGGGCCATCTTTGAAGCAACATAAATGTCTTTATAGGAAGGATACGAGAAGCTTGCCTTCAGTCTAAGGAAGAGGCAGTTGGGAAGAGTCCCCTGGATCTGCGGGCCTGGCTGAGACCTGAGATGGTCACCCGGGTCTGCAGGCCTGGCTGAGACCGTCCCCTGGGTCTGTGGGCCTGGCTGAGACCTGAGACCATCCCCTGGGTCTGCAGGCCTGGCTGAGACCTGAGACGGTCACCTGGGTCTGTGGGCCTGGCTGAGACCGTCCCCTGGGTCTGCAGGCCTGGCTGAGACCTGAGACGGTCACCTGGGTCTGTGGGCCTGGCTGAGACCGTCCCCTGGGTCTGCAGGCCTGGCTGAGACCTGAGACGGTCACCCAGGTCTGTGGGCCTGGCTGAGACCATCCCCTGGGTCTGTGGTCCTGGCTGAGACCTGAGACGGTCACCCGGGTCTGCAGCCCTGGCTGAGACCATCCCCTGGGTCTGTGTCCCCGGCCTGACCGAGCGGGAGACGCCCTCCGGCAGCTCGGGCAGGTGTGGAGATGGGCAGGAGCCCTGGGCAGCCGCACCTGCTCTGGGGCAGCCGGCCATCATGGTGCAGGACAGAAGTCAATCCTCCAGGATCGTAGTTGAAGGGCTGTCTTATTAGGGAAGCCGAAATGTGGTGTTAACTATGCTCCACGAAGGTCTAATGCTGCTGGCCTAGCATAACTGTTACATTTAGAGACTGAGACATCGTCTGATATTCTGACCCCTGAGTTGACCTCTGAAACTGAGTTCTCCCGTCTGTTGGGAAGCGAATGGCGCATCCCCAGGACCCGGGCTGAGCTGTGTCATGGGATGACTGCGAGCCCCGAGGAGTGCGTGCTTCTCCCTCCTGCACCTGCTCCCGAGGGGGGGCCGCAGACTCGTGGGGTCAGGGCTCTGAGGCTGAGGGTGCATGCCGCCCGTGCCGGGGGTTCTGGCCCAGTGGCAGTGAATTTTAGCAAAACCTGCACATGCACGGTGTTTCATAGACAGGACTATAAGTTGACACTTTAAACAAAGCAAGAATTGTATTTATATTTCGAGATTTTAAAACGATGCCTTAAAGTTAGGGCACGATCTCTTTATTTCTGATTTTGTACAGTGTTGCCTTTATAGCCCTTAGCTGTGAGTTCAGAGCAGTGAATTCGGAGAAGACGTCTAAGAAGACCGTCCAAGTTTTACGTCCTCTCTCAGCAGGGAAGTTCAACACAGAGGCAGCAGCCAGTGTGTTCCACAGTCTGTCTACACACAGGCCTATAAAATGCAGCTGCTTTACGAAAACACTTTCATTTAAAATTGTTAATAGTTACAATGTTTTATCATTTGGGAGTGGTAATCAGCTCAACAACCCATGAATTAAAGTATCACAAGACGAAAACCTCTGATGATTCTCTGTGCAACAGCTTTGCATGTTTACTGAGGAGGCAATAAAGGACCAAGGAAAATCCCACTGCACTTTCTTACCAGGCGTCCACAGCTTCACTGTAACAGCAAGGCACGCGGGTTATCAGAGCTAATGCTCGCCGTGGGTTTCTCCCGTGTAGCATCAGTACCATGGTGCTAGCTGCAAGGTTAGGCTGTGCCTCCTGGGGCAGCTCTGCATAGAGAATAAGATAACCCATAGCACCACCCACCTTGCTGAGTGCCACTCTGCAGGCAGCCTGAGACACGTGAGCCCCTCAGAAGCCCCGCCGCAGACAGAGGTCCTCCCTCCTCGGGGTGGAAGCTGTGATGCGCCGGATGGTAAAGACGTGAGGTTCCCTTCAGAACAAGCACTGCTTAGGTCGTCCCTTCTAAAGAACGATCCTGGGAAAACGTGCGAGGAGAGGTGACCGGTCCCAAGCCATCGCCCGCATTTCAGAGCCCCAGGCCTGTTCTCATCGAGTCGGGGGTGCATCCGGTCAGTCCTGCAGTCAGCCTCCCCGGGGCGGTCACTGGGGCCAGCCAGCACCCACTCAAGGCTGTCACCGAGGCTGGGATGGACAGACTGCCTTTCCCGGGGAGGGGGCTGGGGGCGCCACAGCCCTGCGCCCCGAGGAGTGCACGCTTCTCCCTCCTGCACAGAACCCCGGGAAGTGGGGGTGGGCTGGGTCGGATGAAGAGCAGAGCCCTCTAAGCGGGCTGGTCTTCAGGACTCGGCCCTGGCGCCCCGACTGCAGAGCTCGGTCTGTCCCCCGGCCCCCCACCCCGACGGTCCCCACAGCAACCCCGTGAGTGACCCCAGGTGCTGGCGTGCGTGCCCATGTCCAGACTGCTCCATGTGCCCCGTGTCTACCGCTGAGTCTCAGCCACAGGGGTGCTCCCCTCACCCACCAGGACACCAGCTCTAAAATAAAGCTGCCCGCGTCCCGGCCCACGCGGACGGAGGGGCCCCAGTGCTGCTCCCACCCTCTGCAAACAGCCCAAGCTGCGGGGTTTCCTGCCGCAGCTCTGCAGGGGGGGCAGGCCCCGCGCCCGCCTGGCCTTCCTCTGCGGGCCCTGGGAGGTCGCGGCAGCACTCTTCTGTCGACAAACTCAAGAGGGGCGTCGGGGGCGCTGGCAGTGTTGTGTCAGGGCAGCCCCAGGTGCCTGGAGACCCCTCTGCAGGCTGACGGCTTGGAGCCAGGCTGAGTACCTCTGACCTCTCCCCTTCGGGGGCCACACGGAGCCCCAGCCTCCGGGGAACCTTCTCGGGGTCCCATGCAGTCGCCCATGATCCTGTGAAGAGGCCGAGCTACACTCTGGGGGAGAAACAGCAAATCCGGTGAGAGCAGAGCTCAGCGCGGCCTTCCCGCCCAAGTTCCCCCGTCAGTCCTCCCAAGCCCCAGGGACCCAGGACCTTCAAGGGAGACATCGCTGGGCCAAGGCGGGCCACGGTCTGCGCCAACCGTCATGTGGACTTGCTGCGCCCGGAGTCCTGGGCCACCACCCACCCGCCGTGAGGCACCCCTTTCCGGGATCTGTTCGCAGACATGTCAGAGAAGACACGGCTCCTGTCAGGAGATCTGACCCAGTTATGGGAGCAATGCTCGGAGGCTGGACATTCATGCGGGAGGAGGCCAGCCCTTGGCTTCCTGGACGCTTCCGAGAGTCTCTTCCATGTCATCTCTTGGCCCCATGTCTACTGGGGATGATGGCTCGTCTTAGATGGGGCTCACGCTCCGGGAACACGACACAGCATGCACAGTGGGGTCCCAGGAGGGACCTGTGGGGTCACGTGGCCCTGTGATCCATGATTCCTCCTGTGTGGGCACAGCTGGTGTTTCCAAGTGATTCTCACACTGAAGCACTTGGGCAAGCTGGCAGAGGGTGACACAGGTTCCTGTTTTATTTCGGCCGTGGGCAGCATGCAGCTCAGACCCCAGCCTTAGCGGCGACGGCCATTCCGGCCACAAACACAGCCTCTGCCGGGATCGCAGGACAGCCAGCCACACTTGGAATCGCCACCGAAGCTTCCATCAAAGTCAGCCTGATTATTTTCCACTGCGTTTTCCTGAAAGGATGTTATGATTTTCTAGATGTTTGGTAGCTGGCGATAAATCAGGCTTTTATGATGTCATGTGAAAGGTCCCCCCCTCTTCCTCCTGCCGCGGCCGCAGGACGCGTCGACACAGCTGGCTTAACCCTCTGCTCGCTCAGGCTGGGCATGGCCAAGCTGCCCCCCGGCTGGGCGTGGACGGCGCTGTGGGCCTCCCTCTGACATGGGGTGAACCAGACCTCTTCCACCAAGAGTCTGGCATCAAATCAAGATTCAGAATAAGCCAGTGTGTCCCTCAGAGCCATAGAGGCGATCACAGGGTGATTTTACAAAAGCCATCTTCTGGAAGAGCCTCTGCATCATCATCATGAAAAGGAGGTGTGTCCTTGAAAAGGAGGCGCTACCTGAAGGAGGCGCTATCTAAAGTCAGGGGGTACTGATAAAATGTGACTCTGGAACTTCACTGGTAGCGCCGTCAGTTCACATGCCATCTCTGGACGTCGGTTCACATGCGCTCACTGGAGCCCCCACCCAGGGCGTTCTCCCCAAATCCCACCGCTACCCCCCCATCCGTGGCAGGTGTTCTGTCTGCTCTCCCCCGGCAGCGGGTCACGTCTACCACCTCTTTCCACCCCAGCATCCTCAGCACGCTCCCAGTCCTGGCCACCTCCGTCTCCGGTCATCTGCATGCCCACTGTCCCCCCGCCGCCCCTGTCTCCCGCTGCTCCCACCCCGCTCAGCGCCCTCGGTGAGGTCAGAGACACCAGTGAGCTTGTGCTCAGAGCCCCCCGGGGCCCCGAAGAACGTGAGACTCTGAACTCCGCTGGAGGCTGATCAAGTCCACAAATCTTGAAGTGGAGCCAGCGGGTGGAACTTTACGTCACACCGTCACAGAGAATTGGGGCAAAAACAGTTAAACTCAAGCAGGTTGTGGTGCTGTGTCCCATCCTCACAAGAGCTTCTGGCAGAAGAGGGGCCTGTGGCCCAGGAGATGGGACCCGACCTCCCAGGAGGAGGTCCACTGTGTCCTCGCTGGACCAGGGGCAGGTCAGCCCTTCCTCACCCCCGCAGTGGGTGCTGGCGCAGCGCCAGGCCCTGCCCTCTGCCTGGCAGGCCCGGGGGTGACATGACCTGCCTGCCCTCGGGGCACAGTCCTGACTCTATGGGGCAGATGTCCAGACCTCGGCCCCCAAGAGTGGCCAGATGTTCCCAGGCTGGGAGACTGAAGCACAGGAAAGACTGGCAGGATTTTAGGAGGGAAGGGGGGTGGTGTGTGAGAGGCTCCAGGTGAGAAGAACTCACTCACCCTTGTAAGACACAGAGCTAGCAGTCAAGCCCATACTTACTTTCAAATATGACACGGGCATCAGAAAAACAGGCTTTCACGCTACACCACGCTGAGGTGGCCAGTTCATAACTGTGGCCAGTGGTCTGCACGTCCTCTAAGGGACCATCAGCAACCACTGAATAAAGCCACGTGAATCCGTGGCTCTGCTACGAAGGGCCTGGGCCCCAAGGTGGGATTCCCCGGACACCAGTACGTCGTCATCTCCTCTGGGCTCTGAGCCCCTGGACACGCTGTGCAGACTCGGGGGCCTGCTCTCTGTCCCCGAGACCCGAGGGCTCCACCTGCGCTCCTCTCACCATCAAATCGCTGATGAACAGCACGGCTCCGGGAAGGACCTCCCACTGTTCTTCAAGCCCACCTCCTCCTCGGCTTCTGCCCCGAACCCGTGTGGCCTCGATGGGCTTATTCATACATCCCGGCCCCTTGACTGGCCCTCCTGCTGACACCGAAGCTCAGAGCAAGGCTTCGTCATGTCCACTGCTGCCCCCCCAGCATCTAAGACAGTAAAGGTTTGGAAACACTCAACAGCGTGTGAAATAGTTACAATAATTGGAGGAAAAATTAAACATAAAATCGGTTACCTTGATGCTGCCACTCAACAACTCTTGAGTCGTGGTGTGCGTTTGACTGAGCTGCTGAAGCAAGGACAGTATTCTCCTATGGCTATTGCAGAGCAAGTGGCTGTTATCTATGCGGGTGTCAGGGGGTATCTTGACAAGCTGGAGCCCAGCAAGATCACAAAATTTGAGAGTGCTTTCTTGTCTCACGTTATCAGCCAACATCAAGCCCTGTTGGGCACAATCAGGACCGATGGAAAGATCTCAGAAGAGTCAGATGCAAAGCTGAAAGAGATTGTAACAAACTTCTTGGCTGGATTTGAAGCTTAAACTCCTGTGGATTCACATCAAATGCCAGTTTGGTTTTGTCATTGTTTCTTCTAGTTCCATTTATAAAAGGATTACTCCAATACTGCAGATGTACAGTAATCACATTAAAATAAAGGTTCCATGTTGCTTGAAAAAAAAAAAAAAATCGGTTACCATTGTTCAAAAATTATGATCTAAAAATAGAAGTTTGTTTGGGGTGCAAGTCAAAGTGACAGAACGATAAAAGCAAGTCTGTGAGACCACCCCTGCTTGAAGAGGACAGATTCATCCCTGACATCACTACAAGGAGTCAGAAGCGCTGCTTTCCCCCCACCTTGGTGATGAAAGCGCCGACAGCCAGCCCGCTGTTGCCATGGGCTGTGACATCATAGAGACACGCCGGCCATTCCCACCCAGGATCCTGACCCTCACGGGGCCGTGCCTGGTGGGTGACGTTCCCCTGCTGCACAGCCTGAAGCCCTGAGGCTCAGGCTCCCCCTCGGCCACACGGCTCAGAGGCTGAGCTGCAGGGGCAGCTGGGTCTCCCCGGTGGTCTCTGCGCTGTGGGCGGCTAAGGAGCGTTTGGTCTTGAGATACAAGGTGTGTGCAGCGAAACATGGGTCTGAAGGGGGCAGACCGCGCTTTGGCGGGCACACACCTTCTGTTCCGCCGCCCTCGGGCGAGAGCACCCTCCCCGCCCACCGCCGACCGGTGGCCATCTTGTTCCCAGCACCTCCAGTTCTGTTGCCAGTACAGAACCTCCAGCGTGGTGAGTGGTGAGCGTGTGGTGGATTTTGGCCATCTGGTCACCCAGCACTGCAGCACGCTGTTGGTCCCGCCCATCAGCTTCATCCATATTGCTCAGAGAGCTCTCTGCCTCTCAGACGACTGTCCACAGAGCATGTTCTTGCCATGTTTTCTGGGCGGCTCGTCCTGCTGAGGGCCGTGCGTCTTCTGCTCCGGCGCCCGGCCCCCAGGGGCTTCATGACAATCATCAAGTTGTCGGGTTTAAGCGTCTCTGTGGCCGTGTTCAGGGAGGGATTCTATTTCTCTTAGAAAAGACAGAAAAGGAAAGACCCCAGGTAACCAGGCAGCGTGGCTGCCTCTCAACTGGTAAACCTGCCGCTGGCAGGAAACCAAAAGAACGGCCAGAGTCACAGAGGCCTGACCTTCGCCTGCACGCACGTTTTCTGCCACGCCGCGAGAACCCTAACACGTGTCGAAGCCGCCGTCCTAAGCTTTCCTCAACTAAGAAGCTATCCAGAGAAACAGCCAGAAAGCAAGAACTTGGATGTGGTCCGTGGCCAAGCTAGCCCCAGCATCTCTTCAGAAGTCAGCGAGGGAACGCGTGTTTGCATGAGTGCTTTGTCATTTCTGTTTGGAGTGAGAAAGAGGAGGGTGGGAGGCTTACAGAAGCGGGGTTTCTTGAGATCGAACAGCTTGATGTACTCTTCAGATTGAGAAAAGCCCAAAGGAAGAAACCTGTCCGTGTTCCAGGTGCATGCATGCATCTACAGTACTCATTAATGCCGTGCCGCATCAGGCGCTAAGTCGTGTCTGACTCTTTGCGACCCCACGGACTGTCGCCCACCCGGCTCGTCTGTCCATGGAGTTCTCCAGGCAGGAATAGTGGAGTGGGTTGCCATGCCCTTCTCCAGGGGATCTTCCAGACCCAGGGATCGAACCCTCATCTCTTATGTCTCCTGCAATAGCAGTCAGGTTCTTTACCACTAGCGCCACCTGGGAAGCCTGTATTTGTTAGTACTAATCGGGGGCATGGAGCTGGCGGCTGTCTAGGGCCCAGCAGGTCCCCTCACAACGGGGAAGGAAATGGCCTTCCCGGTCCCTGGTGGCCGGCCTCGGCCTCCTTACCGAGGGGCGCCCCCAGCCCGCGTCAGGCTGCAGGTGAGCGAACAGGGAGCCAGGCTTCACCCCCGGGTGCCTGTCAGGTGCCCAGGGAAGGGGCCTCCTGAGGCAGGTCCAGGAGCCCCTGCGGTGCGTTTCGATTGTCGGGAGGTTTGATTAGCTGGTGTCTGTGCAGCACTTGGAGGGTGGAAGGGCCCAAACGGCAGAGGCAGAGCCGCCCGGCCTCGTGCTCCAGGGGCCGCCGGCCACCAGTGCCACAGCCCCTCTAATCGTCCACTTAAAGGAGCTTTATCTCCTTTCCGCGGGCTCGGTGTCACCTCCTACCAGCCTGGGTAATCTTCACACCCTCGACCCAGTTATTAACAGTAACCAGTCATTTCCGACAAAGACGCTGCTGGCTTTGAAGCTTGGGATGTGCTGAGCTCACCGACAGTCTTATCTCCCTGTCGTGAACCAGCCCTGTGTTGCCACCTCCAGCGGCCCCGCCTCCGCCGGAGAGTGACCATCAGGAATGGCGTCAGGGTCCAGAGGCTCCCGCGGCAGCGCTGACCGAGCGCTCCCGGGAGCTCCTCGGATCCCGGAGGACAGCCGACAGAGAAGGGAGCGGGCTGGGGTGGGGAGGAGGCGCCTCGCCAGCGTGCGTGGCCAGGCCCACCCCCCGCCTCACTGGCACCTTCAGAGCAACCTGGGCGCAGCTTTGAGAAAGCTCAGCGGCTCCCCTGGGGGCTCAGTGGCAGAGGGTCCACCTGCCGAGGCAGGAGTGTGGGTTTGATCCCTGGGTTGGGGAGATCCCGCCGTGTGCCGCAGAGCAGCTAAGCCTGCATGCCACGACGGAACCCACACTCTGCAGCAGGGGACGCCTCCGCCACAGTTAGAGGGCAGGCCCTGCACCCCAACGAGAACCAGCACAGCCAAAAATAAGAGAGAAGCCGAGCACAGACTGAGCCCGGGTAAGCCAGGCCTGGAGGCGGGTGGGCTGGCCTCTCTGGGGCCCGCTCCTCTGCCCTGGGAGGGCGTGCGACTGTGAGGGGGCGCCCGGGGCTGGCATCGGGGACAGAACCAGCCCAGGTACCGGGCTTGTGTCCACTCTGCGAGGAGAGGGCCCCCATCCTCACCTCAGCCTGAAAGGACTTTCTCTACGACCTTTGCTCAAGCTCTGTTTAAAAGGAACTTGATGTGCTTCATCGCAATTTCCACTATAAAATTGTCTGTCCCGGCCTCTTCCCTTCATCCTAACCACATTTCTCTTTCTGCTAACTGTATTTTCAAAACACAAATGAAAACACACATCTCTATGAAGGCTGCACTATAAATGCTGTTAATTGGGTTCTCCATTTACAAAGCGAATACTTTTCTATTTACCACCATAGGCTTTATTTACAAATTTAGAAGTGAGCATGTCAGGAAGTCCATGTTCTCGTTCATTCTTCCAGAGAGCTCTGTGTGCTGGGTAGACATCTTCACCCGTGTCTGGGGTGCACTTGGAGGTGGCCTTGCAGGCCTGGGTTTGGTAGCTCTCAGTAGCTCGTTCCAAATGACAAATCGTGGTTCCCAGCCCATAAGCTTCCTGGGGACCTGCTCAGGTGCCCCGCCCCCAGCCCTGGGGCCGGGACCCCGCATCCTGAGGCCCCCAGCGGAGGTGCCGGCGTCTCCGGGCGGGGCACTCTCTGCCCCACCAGCTGCCCGGTATCTCCAGGGTCAGCAGCAGTGGGGTGGTGCTGATGGACTGGATTTCCCCACGAGAGAGCCCGGCATTGTTCAGGCCCGACGGCAGCCTGCTGACAGACAGCCCCTCTGAGGCCGCTTCCTGAGCAGGCCAGACGCCCGAGGTTTTCTCCTCGTCTCTTATCAGCCCTGTCGTCAGAGGGGAGGCCAGGCCTCAGCTCCCTCGGTGCCAACGGTGGGGGTCCTGGGGGGGGCGGTGAGCAGCGCTCCCTGCACTGCACAAAGGATGCACATGAGGGCAGGAGGCGCTGAACCTGCCCCCCGGGAGGCAGACTCTCCTGCGGGCCTGCTGAGGGAAGGTCCCCACTTGGCCCTTTTCATTCTCGCTGACTCTCAGCTGTGTGTTTCCAGCCCGGATTGGGCCAGCGTTTCCCACTGACTGTCCATTGTTGCCTTCGTGAGCAGTTCTGTCTTTCTAAAAAGGAGCATTTCCCCAAGAGGAAGGCATTAGCATCGAGTTACATCAGGAACCAAATTCACTGGCATTCTTTTATTCCCTGGGAACCTCAGCCATTCCTCAGTTTTGCTTTTTTAAGCAAAGTGGAAGGAAGCCGATGAATGTGGAGCAGCCCTCACACTCGGCTCTTAGGTCCTGGGAGGTGGCTGAGCCTCGGGGTCGTCTGTGGCCCTTCTCAGCCACAGGGTGGAGTCCAGCTCTTTCTGTGGGCGCTGTGGGCGTTTCACAGCCTCCTGCCCAAAGAGCACCCACACTTAGGTGTTTCTCCACCTAAACTGATGCCCTTCAGAGAGCCTACAGGCAGCCCTGTTAAGGAGACACATCACTTGAAAATAAAATGGATGTTAACTTTCATATTAAAAACTTTCCTAATGTAACTTCAGTGAAATAGCGAGAGAAATGAGTGTATGAACTTTAAAAAGAAATGTGATAGAATCTGCCTAATGGCTTTCCCCAGGTGATTTTCAGGAAAGTGGGTGGGTATCCAAGGGCTTAATGTGCTGAATAATGACCAGAGCACAGGGGAAGGGGGAGGCCGCCCGGCGTAGAGGGCGTGTTATCATCCTGGTAGAGAAGAGGTGCCCCGGGCGCGGAGAGCGGCCTGGTGAGCGTGGCGGCAGGCAGCGCGGGCCTGCTCTCCTGGCCTTGTGCTGACTGCTGGGGGCTCAGGAACTGGCCTAATGACTTTTCCAGGATCTGGCCTGGCCCTTTATCACTTCACTGTAACAAGGACAGAAACCAGGAAAGCCAGAAAAATTGCTGCAGCAAAACATGCTTCCTACCTGCGTCGGTTTGCCGCTCCGCCTACGGGCACTCAGGTCCTAGGCCTCTGGGTTGGACCCAGCCATCGGAGAACAAGCCCTGAAGGTCATCCCGGAGTCTGCGGACCCGGAAGAGCTGGGGCGTCCGCACACGGACGTCTGTGCCGCCCCGCCGCTGGGGAACCGCTCAGCCAACCCTAATTGAATCCGACAAGAATAAATCACAGGCTGACACTGCAGTGCTCACCTAAGGAACGGCCGTGGAAACAGGAGGACACCCAGAGCCGGGGCTCCGGAAACGCCGTCTTCACATAGAAATGCCTCACATTCTTCCCAGAGCGGCCCTGTCTCCCTTTTAAAGAAAAGGTCCAGACCACCCAGTGCACAGCGTGCGTTTGGGAAACTGTACATAAAATCATCACGTCCCTTCAGCCCCGGCCCCTGTTGTCATACTAAGGCTTTAAGCCTATAAATAAAGGAGGAACCGAACTGTCAGAGAGAAGCAGAGAGCAAAACACACGACTGGTTCTTCGCCTGTCGTCAGAGCCGATCCCACGCGAGTGGGTAAGACACTGGGCCTGCCCCCCGGCCAGCCTCGTGTACCCCAGCCCGGGCCCCAAACCTTGCAGGCCCAGCTGTTTACCTTTTCCCTAAGGGACGCTCCAGGGACAAGCAGGAAAGCCCCTCAAGAGGGGTTGAGTATAAAGCAAGCCGGCGTCCCTGCCTTCCCTAGAAGGGGCCGGTCTAGGTGTCGGCTTGGACACAGCGGCTGGCGTCCAGAGCCGACGTTTTGTTTTAATGGAACCTCATCCGTTTCCTTCACAAGATCTCTCGGTCTAATTAAATTTCAGGGAGACAGCGCCTTGGCAGAAGGCGAAAGCTAGCTGCCGGGCCGGAATGTGGGAGCTGGGCTCAGACTGCATCGGGAAGTTTTACTGGTGCGTCTCTGGTTTCAATGAAACCCTTGCACGGTAGCACGTCTGTTTCTGAGCTTTTGAAAGCCATTTTTCTTCTTCCTTAATTGTCGTTCCCTACTTGTTTTTAGATTAGGAGCTGCTTGTAGAAAAATACAGGAAGCAGAGTTACAATGCAGAGTGCCCTTTCCAAGCCTCCTGCAGCCAGGCGAAGTGGTACGGGTCTTGGGGCTCTGCACCCTCATGGAGCTGGCACCCGTGGCAGGTGCGGGGATGGACGGCGTCCCACCCCCACCCCGCCCCAGCAGAGCGTGACTGCTGCGGGGCCTGGGGCTCTGCTTCCTGGGGCCACATTTCACAGTTTGCACTGGGGACACAGACAGAATGCATGTCTTTGTGTGACTCTCTTCTCCAACAGAAGTAGCCTCAAAGTCTAGACACATTTACTTGGGGAAAGGAGAGAGAAATAAATTCACTTGTTTTTCTGCATATATTTCCAGCTCCGTGTGGCACTGTGTTAAATTGCTAATCAGTAATATCTGCACCCTACTTTTCCTGAGGACTCTGCACATGGACTTTCAGGGCCAGCAGAAGTAACTTGTTTGACTGTTATTAATGCTGGAGGCCAAGGCAGCCCTTCAGTGAAGCCCTCTGGGAGCTTGATTGAGCCCTGAATGTGAGGCTGGGTGGCGGAGAGCTGCTAGAAGGGCCATGCTGGAACAGCCGAGGCAGACGTGGGTCCAGGCTGAGTGAGCCGGGCCGGGCTGGGGTGAGCACAGAGGTCCCGCCCGCCGCTGCGCCTGCCCCTGTGGATCCACCTTCCAGAGCCTGAGCTGACTGATGTGGAGCAGAAACATTTCAGCTCCAGTTTGAGCGCCCGTTAGGCTCCTAGCTGTGGTGGTTTGAGGCTGTCCTTTAGTACTCTGTGTGGCTGGGAGATTGTCTTCCCCAGGGCGTGCGTGTTCATGCAGCCATCTCGTGGCTCATCTCACAGCCCATCTCACGGCCCCTGGAGGAAGCAGGTTTGCATCTGGGGGAGGTTACCCCAGCCTGGTCTGTTTCAGAGTCTCTCTCTCTCTTTTTTCTTTCCTCTCTCTCCCCTCCCTCCTTCTGCCCTCACTTTCTTTTGGGAAGCATCTTGAAATTCTCATTTCTCATCCTCGTGTCCATCAGTTGTAGGCAGAGTGGGGGGCTCTGCTGGGCCGGGTGGGCAGTCCCTTCCCCGGCGCCCTTCCCAGGCAGTCCATTCCAGGCAGCAGCCGGGAGGTTCTCAGCCCCTCCCTGCCCAGGGAGGCCCAGCAGGGACCAGTTGAGTCATCCTGTCCTCTTTTATGTGTTTTTATATTTTGATAAGACCCTGTCAGCTGGGGAGAGAAACTCACCACTGAGCAAATGAGCCGCAGTGGGACTGGGGGCGGGGAAGGGGCAGAGGAGCCCGGGCCCTGGGTGGGGGGAGCTTGGGGGGTGAGGAGGGGCCCTGAGATCAGCATTTCCGAGGAAGGGAGGGAACCAAGAACAGCCTGGACCTCGGCTCAGAGGGCGGCAGCGGGGGGTCTGTAAGGAGGGGTTGCTCGGAGACCTGCTTCCTGCGGGGCAGGTGTTGTGGGGGGGCTTGGAGTTGGCGGGGACCCGCCCAGCTTCGGCCGCAGGAGCCGCGGGGCGCGGGTGACCCTGCCGAGGCCGCCACCGCCTGCCCCACCGTGCGCCCCATCCTGCCCACAGGACTTTCTACAGGGAGACTGCTCCAAAGCCAGGCAGAAGCTCGGCTGGAAGCCCCGGGTCGCCTTTGATGTGAGTGAGTCTCCGGTGCTTTGGCCGGGCGGGAGGGGCCCCGGGGGCCGGGGAAGGGGGTGTGGCGAGGAGGGCCGGGGGGCCGGGGTCCCCCTCACCCGCGCCCATGCCCTGCCTGCAGGAGCTGGTGCGGGAGATGGTGGAGGCCGACGTGGAGCTCATGAGGACCAACCCCAACGCCTGAGCGCCCGGCGGGGCTCAGGCCGGCCGAGGTTTGCGGCAGCCGGGAAGGGCCCAGCCAATTCCTTTTCCTCTGATCGGTTTTGGAATCACGATGTTTTAATCACATGTTCGCTTCACTTGAAATTATATCCCAGACAACTGAGATTGTGGGGCTTTCAAATGGTTTTTCTCTTTTCTTATTAAAAAGAGCCTTTCTCTTAATTAGCATTAACACAGTCCCTGTGGATACTGTCTCCAAGTTATAAAAGCAGCAACTGTAAGGACCCCAAACAAAAAGTCACCCAAATCCATGCCTTGGAGTAGTAATCTAGCTTTCTTCCGAGAGAGATCCCCAGCCTGAGCCCGCCCGGCCGCACGCCCTCCTGAGTCCAAGCGGCGACATTGCCTTCCCCTCCTGGTGACAATAAGCCACTCTGTGCAGCGGATCTGGAAACCCAGGTCCTGCAGAAAGGCGGCATTCAAGGCAGCGCTGGTCTACGACTATAATTGGAACCCACAGGGCTCCCACCATCTCAAAAGAAGGCTTGAGAAACAGGGAGGGTTAGAAGAAGAAACTTGAAGGAAGGTAAATATTGCTGGAACATTCCATGCCAGGCCCCTGGCTGACCCAGAGGTCTCTGAGCCCACGCCTTTGCTTGTGGTCTAGAGTCTCACACACACTACTTATTTCCAACCTCCTCTCAGTACTAGATCACTTTTTAAATCTAATTTTTATTTAGTTATTCAACCAGTTTATATTTAGTGCCTAATGTATGCCAGACACCATGCATGTGAACCATGCGAGGTTAATTAGAAATCCGGCTTCGCTGAGAGCATCATTTAGCGGCCTGGCTCCCACCGCCTGTGCTCCTGAGACGTGAGCAGCGTGTCTGCACAGTGTTAGGCAGGTGGACACACACGTGTGGAATCCACCCACACCAAGCAAGAGGTCGTGTACAGGTGGAGCCTTTGCCTGAGAGGCTGTATTTTGCCCCAGAACAAATTAGGTCAGGACTCCCCTCCCCCTCACTCCCCCTCCAAGGAAAATAAAATAAAACTTTACAGCAAATGGAATCCCAGCCTTTGCACATGCTTGTGAGTGGGGCTGAACTACTTCTGGCTGTCTTCACGGGCAGGTTTGCGAGCGGGGGGACCTGGGCTCCAGGCTGGTGGCGGGAAAGAGGGCTCTTTGTGTGACTGCTCCAGTTGTGAGAGCCTGCTGGCCAGGGGTGGCCTGGCTCCCATGGAGCAGAACCGGGGGCCGAGCCGGCCCACCCGGGTCTTGGGCTCGGGAGCGGCCCCAGGACGGGCCTTCTCCCAATCGGGATGCTGCTAATTGGAAACAGATGGTCCCCGGAAAGCTGGGCCTCCAGGACTAAGCAGGCTGGTGGGCACATACACACACACACACACACATGCAAACACACACACCAACAAACATGCCAGCTCACACACACACACACAATGCAAACCCGCTGTCACAAACACACTCTTAAACGTCTCACACACACACACCTTCACACACATTGCCCTTGGCCTCGATGCGGTGGGCAGACCCCCTCCTCCTCTTCCTCTGACCCCCATGAACCCTCCAGCCCTTCTCACACCAGGTCCCAGGGCTCTGCGGCTTGTTACCCAGCGGCTCCCCCGTGAGCACTGGAGGGGGTCCAGGCAGGGGGTCAGCAGGGCTTCCGTGGTGCCCTGGGGTTAAATTATTCTCAAAATGGCCTGGAGCATCTGGCTTCAAGGGCACAAGAAGTATTTGAGTTGCAGCCTTCTCTCTTTTTCCATATTTTGGATGGGGAGGGGGTAATTTTGTTTCCTGACCTCCCCGTGTATGCTTAAGAAGAGGAAAGAGAACAGTTCTGCTTGAGTGTCTCTGCGTTTTCTTTCTGTGCATTTCACTCAGACATCCTTCAAGACAATTCTCATTAAAGGGTTTTTTCTACCTTACGTCTCACTTCAATTTCAACAAATTTACTTTCCCCTTTTCTCTCTTCTGCCAGCTTTGAATGTTCATTTTAGATATGATTAATTATCTCCCACCTTGATTTTTCAAGTGAAAACTAAAAAAGTTAACCTTTACAATCCAACAGGAGAACAGAGTCGTCAGGCCCACATTGGTGCCCCCAGAGCAGTGAGGCCCGTGGGTGGTACCGGATCGCCGTGGCCTGGGTCCCACCCCACCACAGGTGGCGGCCTGTGCGCTGTCCTCACGGGAGGTGGGGAGGGAGCCTTCAGCCCCTCCAGCTGTCCAGGGGTGAGTGCGGGCACACAGGCTGGGCCTGGGGCGAGGACTGGAGGGCTTGGGGGTCAGCCTCCCCTTGAGGCGGCGCCTTCAGGAGCTGGACTCCAGTCCGTGACTGTGCCCGGACACACGCCAGCCGCCAAGAGGGCAGACCCCAGGGTGGTTGGCGCTGCTGGGGTCTTCCTGCTGTCATTAAGGCTCACTGCTGCGCTTAGTCGCTCAGGCGTGTCCGACTCTGCGACCCCACGGACTGTAGCCCGCCAGGCTCCTCTGTCCATGGGAGTCTCCAGGCAGGAACACTGGAGTGGGGTGCCATTCCCTCCCAACCCAGGGATGGAACCCAGGTCTCCCACATTGCAGGCAAATTCTTTACAGTCTGAGCTACCAGGGAAGCAGAAGGCGGTATCTCCAGCTTTTGTTTCAAAATAACCATAAATGCTGTTTACAAATCATCCTGAAACCCCCCCAAAAAAAGCCTCAAAGCACCCCAGTACTAGGTTTGCCCCAGCACTTCCAGCCGGGTATTCTCAGCTTTAAGAAGTGTGCAAGTCCAAGTTCCCAAGCCATCTGTCTTCCACAAGGAGCAGCCTTCGGGGTTGGTGGTGTCAGCGCTGGGGGAGGGGTGGAGTCACCAGGTTTACCGGAAGCCTGTGTGCCTAGACGGGGTTTTTCAAACACCTCCATACCCACACCTCTCCCAAAGAGGCAGGTTTTGATTTTTCCCGCGCGGCAGGGACAGCTGGGCCGAAGCACCCACCGGCCCTTCCCCGGTGCCGGGCGTCACCGACCTGCGGTCCCGGGTCCAGGCGGTGCCGCCGCGCTTAGCCCGCGACTCCCTCTCTGGCCGTTCAGAGCCCTGGGCCAGCCGCGGGCTATTCGCTGGCCCGTCCTGGGCACCGCGGCCAGGCCCCACCATCTCTGCCGGGGAGCGGCCCCTCGGGGAAGCCAGCGACCGCGGCCTGACCCCGGACCCCGGCTCCCGCCCTCCCTCCAGGGTCAGGGGTCGCAGGCACGGGTCGCCCCGCGCTCAGCTGCTCCTCTTTGATCTCTGGATTCGGGGACCGGGCACCGGGCGCCGAAGCCACTGCACGGAGCCCCGACGTGAATGCGGGGTCCGGGGCTCCCACACCTACCGCAGGGACCGCCGGGGGCCAGGCGCCCCTCCCCCAGCGCGGGTGGCGGGACCCCCCCAACGTGTCCCAGCACCGAGAGCGCAGGCCGAGCTGAGGCCTCGGGAGAACCGCACGGCTCGGCCCCGTGCCGAGCGACCAGGGCGCGCGAGGGGCCGGTGCTCCGAGGGCCGGGTCCCCAAACTCCCAGCGGCGGGAGAACCTGGGCGGTTCCGATCCGAGGCCACGGGCTTCTGAGGAAGACGACCACGATGCGAGGCGCGCCTGGGGCAGGAGGGGCGGCCGGGCGCGGCAGGGCCGTTTGAGGGGGAGCAGAACCTCAGCTGGAGTTCCGCTTGTTGTGGCCAGGCGGAGGCCGTCCAGCGAGGCCTTCCTGTCGGGCCGTTTCTCCAGGATCCCCAACCCTCTCCCAGGATCTGCCTGCGAAGCCGCGTCGGCTGGGGGTTCTCAGTCACCAGACACGCTGGACGCCAGGGCCCGGCCTCCGGACGCCGCGCACAGACGCCTGGGGGTGTCTGGCTTCCAGACGGCCGGCCCAGGAGCCACGGTGGGGCCTCCGCGTCTCCTCCACGGCCCCTCCGCCTCCGCCCGCTGGGGCCTAACGCCCAATGCCAGGGCCAGCGCATCTCCTGCAGGGTGACCACGATGAAAGGCCTTCGGGCCGCACGGAGGGCCCTGGGGCGGCCCCCACCCGGCGAGAACCCAGGCGCAGCGGCGCTGCGGCTCGCGTCCGCGGCCACCTCCGCCGCCAGGGACGCGGGGCTCGCTCTCCGCAGGGGACACAGTCCTCGTCTTTCCTCCACTGGTGGATTTTTGAGAATCCTATGGCTTCCTAAACACGTGATTCCCACTCCCGTCCGGCTTTCACATCTGTAGCCTCTGAGACCCGCACAGCCTCCGGCCCAGGGACCAACCTTTGTACTGAAGGAAAAGCAGAGGCCTTAGGAGTTAATGGCGCTAAAAGCGTTGGTTTTCCTGCCTTTTCCCAGGGGTGGGTGATGGGGAGGGAAGGGTCTGTCTCCTTTCTTTCTTATCTGTCATGTAAATCGTCCCCAAAGCCCCGCAGCAAAGCCCTTCACTCCCCAGCCTCCAGCTCGGAGCCCTGGCTACCAGCCTCCAGCCTGAGCCCAGGGGAGGGCTGCTCTGCCCCGAGGCCAGGCCCGGGGTGCCACCACCCGCCCAGGGAGGAGGCCCGCAGCCTTGGCTGCCTGCCCACTGCGCACTCCCTGGGCTCTCGAACTGCAGTCCCAGGGCCACCCAAGTAGCACTGAGCAGTGCTGACTCTGGGGGCAGAGGAGCAGCCCACACAGGGTCCTTCCTGGGAGTGACCTGGGGGAAGGTAGGGGCAAGGGACCGGCAGCAGCTTGGAGGAAGCCAAAGGCAGAGAGCAGAGGTGCTCTGGGGCGGGGGGAGGTGGGAGCCACCTGGAGGAGCAGGGGGTCTGGGGAGGCCGCCCGAGTCCCGCAGGGTCCCCACCAGCCACTCCTCCGAGCAGTCCAGCGTCTCCTCCAGGAGCTCCGCCCTTCTCTCCTGCTGAAGACTCCCGGGCCTGTAGGCCAGGAGACCCCAGAGCCCAGGGCATCCCCTCTAATAAGCTCAATATGCTGCAAATTTGAAATCAGTGAGGGAAAAAATCAAGTCAACAACAACAAAATAATGTGAAGCAGAGACTTCTCTGGAACCGGGTGAGAAGGAGCAGGTCAGCAGAGGCCTCAGGTCGCCCTCCTGCTCCCTACGCCTTAGTTTGGTTTCCAACAAGGCGGACATGGTCCATTTTGCTCAATTTTCCACTTCTAATCCCGTGGAGAACGTCATGGGGAGGCGGCTTTCATTCCCCTGAGTGGGTTTCGGCGCTGGAATTCCTTGGATTAACCATCGCCCCTTTTCCAGCCAGATCTGGACCTGGAACCAGCCCGTCCAGCGTCCAAGGCCTGCTCGCCAGCCGGCAGCCACATCCGGCCCAGGCCCAGCGCAGCGGATGCAGGAGGCTGCCCTGGTCTGGAGGGGACCCTCCCGGGAGGGGCTTCAGGCCCGCAGGCTTTTGTGGAGCCCTGGGGGGAGTAGGGGGGGACAGAGGGGGAATATAGGGGCAGAAATAGAGACATGCGGAGCTTCCTGCAAAGGATGGATTCGCACGCCAAAGGGGGACCTGGAGCAGAGGGGCCACGGCCGCCAGGCCCAGTGACCGATACCCCAACGTCAGAGGAAGGCTGTGTTTAGGTGCGACCGAAATGCCACTAATAAACAGCTCTTTTCAAGGAAGCTCTTGGCCTCCTTATAAATTGAAATAGTAACTTTCAGGAAAATGGGGTCTTGAAACTGGCATTTCAGCCCTAAGCACATGTCGACGGTTTTTTTTTTTTTTTTTGCCTTGGCCATCGCCTGAATCAATCAGGCTGTGCTTCGCCGCCGCCCCCCACCCCCACCCCTGATTCCTGGAGTGAACACTCTGATACAGTCTCTGGGTTCTTTTTCTCGCTACCTCCCCCAAAGCTCACTGCCTGCCTGAAGAACCGTTTGCACAGAATCGGATTCTCGCCCGCCCCGCTTTATTACATGGCCACCATCAATCTTGCCCCTAAAGTGACATTTGTTTATGACCTGGTGGGAAGGGCTAATGGCTTCGGGAACGGATCTACAAAATGAGTCCACAGGAGCCCAAAGACTCGGCAACACCAGGCAGGCCATCCTCGCACTGGGCACTGAGCTCCGGAGCAAACAGGCCCCCCCAGAAGCTCCGGGCGTGGGGTGACGGTGGAAAGAAACTCACCCCCACTGCCGCCAACAGGGGACAGCCCTGCTCCGGGTGTCGGCCTGGATCCACCGGGCGCCGCCTCCCTCCCGGCAGCCGGCCAGCACCGCGCCATCCACACCGAAACAGACGGCTCTCCACCTTACAAACCGAGACCCCTCCAAAGGGAACAGCGAGGAGGGCGAAGGCCCCAGTCCCTGGTCACCTATCAAAGTTCAGGGGAGCCACAGGGCTGGAAGGCAGGCTTGTTTCCTGACCCTTGTTCTGACCCTGCAGGAAACAGCCAAGGGCTTAGGGCCACCGGCACAATCGAGCCTTATTCGCCTGCAGACCTCGATTATTAATGACACAAAAGCGGGGCCTGATAAATTGTAAAATGTGTGCTTGTTTGCATGCAGTCTGGTGGAAACGGCCTGTCACCTACATCACCCTGGAGGACAGCACCCACCACCGTGTGATACGCCAAATGCAAGCCTATGTGTGGCGTGCAGCACGCTGAGAATTACCTACTCTTGCAGAAACTGCTGAGAAGCGTCCACTGCCTCACACAGGACAGAAAGACTTCCTTTCCTCAAGCTTTCTACAGAGGCAGACTTCCAAACCAGCCCAGCTCCCACCGCCCCCCCACCACGCTGGGTGTCTGATGTCCCAGGCTAATTCCAAACTGTGCTATTTGTTCAAACATGAAGGAGCTTCTCAGAATATTTCACAGCAAAATTATCCTTGTTGCTGTAACAGTTCCAATCAAATGTGCAAAGCACTAATGAACAACTGGGGCGGGGTCCCTCCAGAATAAAGAGCCCAGACCTCCCAGGGATCAGATGGCTCCAGTCAGCCTTAAACTGTATCCAAGAAGCCAAAACGTCCTGAAAGCAGGACATGCCACATAAGAGGATCTAACATCAGCTCCATGACCAGGCCCTGCACCCTTCCGCTCCAACACAGCTTCTGAACAACGCTGTGGGCCACTCCTGGAGAGAAAACTCTTTTCTCTGCCTACAAGTAACCCAAGCACCTTCCACAAAGCATATCTTAAAGACCTAACTTTCAAACGCAGGGATGGAAAAGGCAGAAATGGTTGCTAAGAGGCTCCCCTGGGGAGCAAGCCGGCATGCGCTCCCCCGCTCGGACCCGGGCTGCCCGCCGGCCTCCTCCAGAAGCCGAGGGCCGCTCCGCGCTCCCACTCCAGCCCCTGGACTTGGGCGAGAAGGACGAGCCGAGTCGGAAGCTCCGCCGGGCCGGCCAGCTCTCTCCCACCCTCGCCGCCCAGTACCGAGAGCGGGTCGAGGCCAGGCCCCGAGGCCGTGGGGACGCCCCCCGCCCGAGGAGCGGCTCTAGCTGCCCCGCGGCCTCCGCGAACCGGACGCGCGCGCCGAGAGGGGACGCGGCCCAGCAGAGAGGCCGCTCGGGCCCAGAACCGGCCAATCGGCCTGGCCGAGGCTGTCAGGCAGGCCGGCCAGGGCACGCGGGGCGCCGGCGGCGGGGCCTGCCCGTCGTCCCCGGGCCGCCGCGCGCTGGACGAACGCACGTGCGTCCTCCAGACAAAGCGGTGGGCGCGGGACCGGAGCCCCGCGCCAGGCACAGACGCGTGGTGGGCCTGCCCGCCCCGGCTCCGGCCAGAGGCGCCTTGGCGCGGCTCTCCCAGCGCCCGACCCAGCAGGGCGGAGAGGAGGAGCCGTGGGCGCTAAGCGCCCAGGACGTGTCTTCCCCCTAATTAGCCGAGGAGCGTCCGGTCCCGAGGCCGGGTACGGCTAGGTCCACACGGCCGCCCACTGCTCAGAGAATCGGGGCGGCCTAGGTCGGAGGGCTCGGCTCCCGCAGCCCGCCTGGGGGAGTCGGGGCGCTCCGCGTCCGTGCGGACCTGGCCGCTGGCCACCTGCGGCCGCTTCTCTCGGGGCCGGCCCCGCGCCGCCGCGGCCCCTTTGTCCGTCAGCCCGGCTCCGCTCTCGGCTCCCACGAATGAGCCAGGCGGTTTGCCCGCGGATCCTTCCCCTTCACTTCCAAACGGGGGCTCCCGGGAGGTGCCAGGCCGCCCAGCCCGGGGCTGCGACGCGGAGGCCGCGCGGCGGGGAGGCCGGTCCCGGTGGCCTGCCCCCGGGGACGCGGCGCCCCGCGCCCTGCGCGCCTCCCGGCTCGACTCTGAGCCAGGGACCCAGCAAATCAGAGGCCGTGTAAAGCAGTTTTTGACTGGAAGTAGAGTGTATTTATTTGCAGCAATCCTTTAACAATGATCAAATTTTGACAACAAGCAACAGCAATTACTGCTAAGTGTTGCCTCTAGATCGGAGCGGCAGATAGCAGGAAACTGTACTATCTCCAAAACAAACGGAAAGGCCCTGAAAGTCTGTAATCAAATCGCCATCTCCCCGAAGTCTGATTGACAGGGCAGATCACCCTAAGATAAGGAATTTATTACATTTCCTGGGTTATTTACAAAAGGCGGGGGCCGGCGGACTGTCCCATAGGTTTAACTGTAAATTAACAAGAAAAATGGGACTGAAAAGAAACCACCTGGACTAAAATGCCCTGCTTCCTGCTCCTTCCTTCTTGTTATTGCTTTAAATCTTTTTCCAAAACATAATTGTTCTACAAACATATCTTCTAAAATAGTTTCCCAAAGATTAAATATCCCTTTCCAACCCGCAGTACATTAAAATAAAAATCAATCCTACATTAGACATGAAGGATTGTAGATGTTGATGAGTTATATACACACATTTAAAAGCTGGGGTTTTTTTTCCCCTTCATAAAAAGGAGTGAAATTAACAGGAAGAAAATTCATCCAGCATTTGGCTCACAGGGATGTCTGATAAGTACGACAGTTTTTTAAGTGATACACAAGCCAAATATTCAAATGTGTATCTGAAGGCACAGCTACCTCTCCACACACAGGTATCACTGTGGTGAGACTGCTGCTGATTCATGGGCTTGAAATTTCCAAATCCTGTTGTCATTACTGAGAAAATGCATTTGTGTATATGCCAACTCAGATATGTTTAGGAAAATCTCTTTTTACTAGCCACAAAGCAAGCTGACTATATAGTACTTTTGCAGAAGATGCCGCAGGAAAAAAATAAATCTAAACAAAAAGAGACTTATGCGTGTAATTTGACCAGGAATAGTCAGAAGTTGTCTCTATTTTTTTTTCAGAGATTTAGAAGGAGAATTGGTAATTTCTAGTGTTTTAATCTCTGAAATCTTTTTCTCTTATAAGAATTAAGGCTGTATTAAAGTATCCAGACATATAGGTCTCATTCAAACTGAATGGTAATTTATTAATAAACAATGAATATGCTCAACAAAGAGAAAGCAAAGATGATAGAATAAGATTAATACAGTTTCCCTTTTCATAATCAAAAAAGCACAATTTAAAGTTTCAGGCAATTTAACGTCAGGTTTTGGAAACACTTTCTGGCGTTTGGTCCACGGACATCCAACTACAAATTAAAAATAAATTACTATGTTGCAATTTACATTTTAAAACAAGTCCAGGAATAAAAAGAAAGCCGTTTCCATGCACGGGGGACTTCCTCTCTCCTTTCAATAGAGGATGAAATAATATCTTACAGGTGAGAGGGCAAGGGACAGGGCAGGAGGAGGAGAGGTGTTCTCTAAAAAGAAGAAGAAACTTACGTGTTATCTGGAGTAACACTGTCCTTTAACAAACCATGACTCTGCTGTCTCTGTACAAAACAGTTTACGGTTCTGTTTATTTAGATAAAGCAAAGTGGAGGTGGCTCCGAATCCATCTTCTAAGAGAAGAAAGCCTTTACTTCACGCTGGTGACTTTAAAGTGTGGCGGGCTTCTGTTTGCTGGTTTGGTGGACGTTTTACGGACTGGGTTTTTGGTTTCGCTTTTGTGCCGAGGGTCCTTTAGCCTGCTCCTGCTCCGGGGTTCGGTTCGGTCCGGGGCGGAGGCGGGGGTCAAAACTTGCTGCAGTCGTAGACGAAGGCCCCGGACGTGCGGTACAGGGACTGGCCAGAAGGGAAGGCCATCTGACAGCTGCTGCTCCCGTTTACCGGCGAGTTGTTCAGGCCGATGCGCTGCGACTCGAACATCTCCCGCACCGAGTGGAAGTTCTGCTGCTGGCCCGGGTAGCCCGCGGCCGCCGCCGCCGCGCTGGCCAGGTGGCCCAGGTCCCCGCCCGCCTGGTTCAGGTACCACGAGGCCAGGCGGCCTTGGTGGGCCGCGGCGTGGTGGCCGGCCTCCTGGCCGCCGCCGCCGTGGCCCAGGGACGAGGAGCTGCTGCTGGTGGCCGGGGGCAGGGAGTAGTCGGGCAGCGGGTCGTCCACCGAGGAGCCTCCGGCGCCCGCGGGCGCGCCCTGCACGTGGCCGCTGCGCTCCCCGGCCGCGTACAGGCTCATGGCCTGCAGGTTACAGTGGTAGGTCCCGGCGCTCGCCGGCAGGCCGCCGGGGGGGCTGCCCCCGCTGGACAGGCTGCTGCTGCTGCTGTCGGGGCTTTCGATTTTGGGCACCGCGGCGGCGCCGGCGCTGCCGCTGCCCAGGGCGGCGGCCGGGGACAGGGGCTGGGGCGGCGAGGGGCACGTACCGTTCTCGGTCTTGATGTCCTGGATGCGCACGGGCGGGGGCTGCGCCCCGGGCGGCGCGCCGTCGGCCTGCTCAGGGGGCGCGGGCGCGGGTTGGCGGCCGGCCGGCGGCGGCGGCGGCGGCTCTTTGAGGTGCAGCCGGTCCTTCTCCTCCTTGTCCTTCACGGCGTCCTTCTTCTTGAAGCGCCGCCGCCGCCGCAGGAAGCTGCCGTTCTCGAACATGTTGTAGGAGTCCGGGTCGAGCGTCCAGTAGCTGCCCTTGCCTGGCTTCTTGTCGTCGCGCGGCACCTTGACGAAGCACTCGTTGAGCGAGAGATTGTGGCGGATGCTGTTCTGCCAGCCCTGCTTGTTGTCCCGGTAGAAGGGGAAGCGGTCCATGATGAACTGGTAGATGCCGTTCAGGGTGATCTTCTTGTCCGGCGCGTTCTGGATGGCCATGGTGATGAGCGCGATGTAGCTGTAGGGCGGCTTCACCAGGTCCTTGGGCGCCGCGGGCTGGTGGTGGTGATACGGCGCGTAGGAGCGGCCCATGCCCGCGCCGTACTGCTCCGGGTGGCCGGAGTAGACGCCCATGGGGCTGGTCATGCCTCCGTAGCTGCCCGCCGCGCGGTAGTAGTTCTGCTCGCTCAAGTAGGGCACCACTCCCAGGGCGTTGGGGTCGGACACAGAGTAGCGCGCCTGCATGCTGCGTCCGAGACGGCTAGCCACCGCCTGCGCGCACGGACCGCGAGGAAGGCCCTACGAGAGCGAGCGCGAGCGAGAGAGGGAAGAAGGGAGCCGGCGGGGGGAGCCCCGGGAGCCTGGAAGCCTCAGGGGTGAGCTGGAGGAGGCGCCGGCGCGGGGCGCCCGCCTTCGGACCGGGAAGGGGCGCTTGCTTTCAGCGGACCGGGCGGAGCAGCATCTTGGAAGGCGCGCCCCGGCGAACGCAGCGCCGGCCCCGGCTCACTCCTCGCTCACTCTCGGCACTCGGCGGGCGGCCGGGGACCGAGAGGAGACGCCGCGCGCGCGGTGGACCAAGGCTGGCCGCTCAGTCCGCGTCAGGAAAGGGAAGGCGGCTCTCCAAGCCCCCCCACTCAGCAAATCGGCAGCCCTGAGGGTCGGCGAGCCGGGGTCCAGGGTGCTGCCCTGCCGAGCCCGGAAAAAGAGGCAAAGTCCCTTTTAGGGAATGGGAAAAGTTTCAAAAGTCTTCTTGCTGAAAGCGAGGTTTTACTTTCCCCCGGCCACGCCCCCTCCGGGAACTTTGGACCAATAAGGCGGCCTCTGTGGGGACTTGGCACCAATCAGGACAATGAGCGCCGGAATCCGTCGGCTCTAAGACCCAGCCGCGCAGAACCAGACTTTCTGCAGCCCAGTCTTAACTTGAAAAGATTTTTTTTTCTTAAAAAGAGTTATATCTTATTAAAATTTATTTTATTATCACATTTTGGTTAATGGACCCACGTGCCCAGAGCAAAAAAAACCNCCATTCTCCCCTCCCTCCATTCTCCCCTCCCTCCATTCTCCCCTCCCCTATTCTCACCTATTCTCCCACACTCGCCCCTCCCCCACACTCTCCCCTCCCCTACACCCTCCCCTCCCCTATTCTCCCTTCCCCTCCACTCCTGATCACCGTTCTCCCGGGTCCCGGAAGTCCCCAGTCCCCCCCACCTGGAAGTTCTCCAGTCTTGAGCAGGGTTACAAAAAGGCACAGTTCTGAGTCTGAAAGCAGGGCTGCCGGCACTCTGTTCTGGGTGGGAGCAGGGTTGTTGCTCCTATCTCACTTGTTTCCTGGACCCCTCCCCATTAGAAACAAGGGAGTGGGACACGGGACCTTGCCAAGAGCCCGGGGCTAGGGTCTGCCGCGTGCGCTCCTGGAGCCTGGGCGTCCCTGGGCTTCTCCGGGAGTTCTCGGACAAGGCCTCCTCTGGGGGAGGCCGGCACCCTTCGGCCCAGAGGAGGGTTCGCGCTGCGAACTCAGTGAGGAGAGCGGGTGGTGAGGAGTAAAGACGGCCACCTCCCTCCCCGCCCTGCGTGGCTCCTGCCTGCAGAGATAGCGGATTGATGGGGTGGAGGGGGACTTACAGAATCGCACCTGCAGGGCCCTCGAGGGTACGGGGGACCCCTAGACTTGCAGCTTGTGTCTGGGATGAAGAGCAGGGAGGAGCCGGCCTCCGGGACTGCGGGGCTTTCTGCACTTTGGCCAACCCGGAGCGGCCCTCTGGGCCCTCTCCTGACGCGCTTCTGTAGAGCTGCACCCCTCACACCTCCACCCTCGGTTCCGGACGGTCTCGAACTGCGACGACGTGTCCGGAGCCCTTTAGCTTCCCGGCTCGAGTCTGGCTTCCTCCACAGCCCCAGCCACAGCTGCGCTCCGTGTCAGGGCGCGGGCCTGTGCGGTGTAAACCTTTGGGTTTCCGAGTGGGCCCTGACGCAGAGAAACCCGGGTATCTGCTCCTCCTGAGCCGGCGGTGCCGCCCCGAAACCCGGCTCCCAGCGCCGCGCGGCCTGCAGAGCGCCTGGGCCGCTCGGCCTGCTTCCCGGGCCCCCACCAGGCAGCGTCTCCACCGCCACCGAGAAACCCTGAGTTAGGGGCAGAGGCTCGATGCTCCTGGGCACCCGGTGGGCAAGAGGCGCAGCCCCGAGACCGAACAGTGCGTTGATGTCCAGCACCCTCCCGCATCCCGCCGGAGCCCGCCGCCTTGACCGAGGCCTTGTGGGCGCCCTGGCTTCCGAGCAGCCTGGAGGCCAAGGAAGTCAGCGGTCGCCCCGAACGCCTTGGCCTCTGGCGACTTCGGCCTTTGAACTGCGTTTCCACCGCTCGCGGCACGCGGGCACCAACGCGGCCATGGAGACTCGCCCGTTTCCCGGCGCGGGGACCCGCAGCTCGTGCGGGAGACGTGGTGCGCGCTACCCGGCCGCGCGGCCTCTCTGCTCCCGGCTCCGAGGCCCGAGAGGTGGAAAGAGCTCCTTAGGTAAACTGCAAATCCGACAGCCGGCCGTGCTGGGCCGCTTCAGGGATGAAAGTGGCCGTTGTGAAATAAGTTTCTGGCGCGCGGGGGAAAAGGAGGGTGCAGTTTACGAAGATCAACTTTCCCCTGGTCGAGCTCTGGATATTCGCCAGGAAAAGATATTTGCGTTTGTGTTTTATAAGCTTCCTCGGAAGCAAACCTCCACTAAACGGCTTGATTGTATTTCAAGTACTTGACTTATGTTATTATTGTCGGTGGTGGTGGTATGTGGACACGAAGGCGCAGAAATGAAGTCTTCAGGGAATGGGGTGAAGTTTTTATTTTCGGCTAGGGTTTATGATGCCCCTTGCATAGTTCAGTCACTGTCCCCATGACCTTAACTGGCAGAAATGCCTTCGCAGGAAACCTTCGCTGTTTTTCTGACACCTCGCGGCTGTGACCTGAAGGTCCGCGGGCGACAGCGGTAATGGATGTGTTTCTTCAGACGGTCGCTGACCTTCCCGGCCCCATCCCTTCCTTGACCCGCCAGCGGGGAGGGGGGGTCACAATTCCTTGACCCCTAGAGGGGGTCTTAGCTCTGGAGAGGGGCGTCACAGCCTTCCCCAAAACAGGACTCCCGAGCCCTCCGCTGGAAGAGCTTGAGGAAGGGAGAGGGGGCGGGCCCTGCAGGAAATGCCCAACTGGGACCCGATGACACTGCAGGAAGAGGGGGGAGGGGTGATCCCCGCCAGGCACCGGGGAGCTGGGGGGCGGCTTCTTTTCATGTCTTGATAAAGGGAATAGGGATCCGGGAGGGGGCAGGGATCCCCGGCCCAGAAAAGGATTCCCAAGGGGCAGCGAGTTCAGCCCGAGTTCCTGGCATTGTCCTTCAGAGACCCCTCGGGAACTTTCCAGCGCCGCACCCGTCCCCCCCACCAGCCCCGGACAGTGACCCTCCCCAGACACAAGCAGGCCCCTCCGCCCAGCGTCCGGTGGGTCCCGGCTGGCTCACCGGATGCCATGCGGGGAAGCTAGCCCCTCAGGGGGTCCTGGCTGGTCTGATGACAAGCTGCAGGGATCGTCAGGAAAGCTGGCTGTCCCTCTAGACGGTCAGTCAGCCCTGCGTGGGGGGATGCTGCACGGGGGGGCAGGGGTTTCTGCAGGGCCGCAGCTTTCCCACCTTCTCCCCTTTCGCTGCCGGGAGACAAGCATGGAGTATGGAACACTTAACGGACAGTGGGACCCGAAGTCACCCCGCTAGACTGAAGTCACAAGCAACTGTAGCCACGTCCGTTTCAGGGTGTCTTCGCGCTATTTAGAATCCTGTGGAATTTCTCCACGTGGCCTCCTTCAGTAAGAGCTGAAGTCCAGGGGTGGGGGAGGATACAAGCTGTCAGTGATCGTTATTCGTTATCAGACCCTCGGACAGGCAGGCAGCGCTGGGCATCGGCGCAGGGCTGGGCAGGGCAGACACCCAGCCTCCTGGATGATCGACTTCTCTCTCCATTGGAGGGGTTTCGGCGTACTTGTTCTGTTAATGCAGTCTTCCTGGCTCAGTCCCCTCCTTAGTAGAAAATAATTCCTATGATAAATAAAAAGTGCATTTGTTTTTCGATTTTAAAAATCGAAAACAATCTAAAGACAAAGCGATGTCCATGACTGAACGAATTGTGCAGCTGCTGTCCTACAGGCAGCCTCCACAGGAAGTTTATGTGATGGGGAAATTTAATGTCCCCCTAGTCCCCACGACGGGCCGTCCCACTAATTACTCTCACTGGCGGGAGTGTGCCCACACCTGCTCAGGGTTGCCTGGGGTCGGCCCACCTGCCACCGGCCGCCCGGAATGTCGGCCTCCCAGAGCGTTTCTGGGGCACAGAGCTAGCTGAGGGTGGAGAAGGGGCCGCGGGGAGCTTTACCCACGGTCCTGGCTGTGCATGCTGGGGGCTTCCTTTGTCCTGGCAGAGGTAGGTGAGGAGAACTGCCTCCTTTCCTTAGCCAGCCAGGACAAAAAAAAAAAAAAAAGCGTGGATGAACGGAAGGACCAGTCTCGCCTGGGTTCTTTCCACCCGGGTCCCCACTGAGACTTGGGAGCAGCCTGGCCTTCAAGGGTCGACGACCCGCGGGGCCCCGGGTGCGCGGTGCGGGCGACAGGGACCCCGGGCAGGCTCCGGGTGTCGGAGGATAGGCCTCTGTGCGCAGACAGACCCGAAGGCCGGCCGGCCCCGCAACTGGGAGGAGTCGGCCGCATCTCGTGGCGGCGGGGCCTTGTTCCGGGACGGCTCCCCTGTTCTTCAGCCCGGCTCGGGGGCCCCACGCGCGGGACCGGACCCCCTCCCGCTCAGGAGCGGCCTGAGGAGCCGGAGCCCCGACGCCCCGGCCCCTCCGCGAACTGGCCGCCAGGGACCCGGGACGCTCCATCCGCCCGACCCAGGGCGCGGAGGGCGAGGCCGGCCTGCTCCCAAAGCTCCCAGGCGGCCGCGGGGTCCTCGGCCCGGCTCGCCGTCCGCACCTTCAGGGCGGATGCAGGCCGGCACCGGGCTCCGAGCAGCCGGTCCCGGGTCGTCGTGTGCATCTGCAGCGGGGAGAGCGGCCCAGCGGTGCCCACAGCTTCCCGCCTCGGCCGCGAGGGCGCCGGGCAGGGAAGCAGGGGGGTCGGGAGGCCGCACCTGAGGCGGGAGCTCTGGACCCCGGGGCGCAGGCCCCCGGCCAAACCGCCCGCTGCGCGGGGCTCAGGCCGTCTGGCTCCGGCTCCGGCTC